AAGCGTTCTATTTTCAAATAGAGGGGAAGCGATAGGAAATGGCGGTATTAATGGTTTGTAGCACCATTGCAAAAGTCCATTAAATACACTACCAAGTGTTTTTGTTGAGTGTGGAACCAACATCCCACTATAGTCTACACAAACACTAACATATGATTTGGAATGTAAATGTACATTTGGAAGACTTGCTATCAAATTCTTCAACCTTCTAGCTAGGTGTCAAGAAAACGAAGACTAAGTTATAGAAACGAAATCATAGCCCTTTCAATAATTGAGAACTACCATGTTGTAGGCTACATGGCTACACATATAAAATTCAACACACATTTTCAAGGTACACTACTATGCACAGTCCTCGTGTACTGTAGTAATAATTCTCCCCAGTCTGCTAGCATTCTCCCACTAGGGCACTTGTAGCACAAAGGTCCTTCGGCTGTTTTTGGCTTCAACACTGCTGACCCAGTTTCCCTGATAGTATAGTGAGTGACACAACCCTCCTGGCCAGTCGGCTCTTAACTCTTTCCTCAATCTGCCTACATAGGCACTGCTACATTTCCCTCACAACTCCCATACAGCACTGGCAGGTAATATCGATGCACTGGGATTTTTATGTCCCAGTTGTCATGGATAATCATGAACTCTGACGTTGCTATGAAATAACAGTGTCAGTGCTCCCGAGTAGCACTGCATCTCAGTGCTAGAGGCGTCACTACAGACCCTGGTTCGATTCCAGGCTATATCACAATCCGGCCGTGATTGGGAGTCCCATAGGGCGGCGCACAATTGGCCCCGCGTTGTCAGGGTTTGGCCGTCATTGTAAATAAGAATTTGTTCTTAACTGACTTGTAGTTAAATAAAGGTAAAAAAAAATATATATATGATAGCGTCGTCCTCTTTCCACGCTATATACTTTTAAACAGTATACTCAAGGTTTCACTCTCATGTACTGACTCTGAGAGGGTCAACATGAACAACAGTGTCATTATTCTTCCCCTGTCTTCGTTCCTAGATTGCGGAGTTCCTCCTCTGGACGGTGGAGCAATGAGCTTCTGAAAGACACTAGATCACATGGTGAGTAGTCTAGGGCTGACATCATCGCATGTAATAGCCTACGTAGGTCCCTGAGAAGCAACACACGAGTTGTGCTTTTGTCCAATATAGTATATTAGAAAGCACAGTGGTTATCGCAGGATAACACTTTGACTTGCCTGCAGAGTGCATTGTAAGGATGACTTTCTCCATACTTTGGCTCAGACCTGGACTACCAGGATGCAGAGTTAATTTAAGGATATCCCATAGTGTCACTTTACATCAACTTAGTCCTTTCTCATCCGCTCTGTGAACTTTGGGTTTTTAAATTTAAAAAAATTAAAAAAATTAGATAGTCAACTGTAGTGAAGGAGCAGGAGAGGAGTCTGCAGGCACAGTCATGCCCCCGACAACATGTCAGGACTCTGGGGTTGAGGCCTTTACTTCAGTGCACGTCAAACAGAGAGACAAAGAACTCACCCCAGTGAGTCATATTCGCCCTCCATGACCCAACTGACTTGTGGTACGACCTCGAAGAGGCACAGTTGGAAAAAGAAACACTTTCCGTCCCCCGAATGCTGTAAATATTTAGGTGGGGGAATAGGAATACACATCGGTACAATTAGTAAACGCCTCAACCCGTTGTAATCTGGCTTGTTGAGCTGTAGCTGAGATGATTTCCCGCACATTCACTCTCGAGGCCCCGGCTGTGAGTTATGGATGGAATGTGCAGTACAAACTGTGCTGTGCTGGGTTAATTCATTCACACTCATAGCCTTGGGCCTCGTGTTCAGGGAGAGAGTGCTGTCCTTGGGGCTCGTGTTCAGAGAACGTAGGGTTGTCACGATACCAGTATTGCGATACTACGATACCTGATTTTCCATGGCAGGAAAACACAAAGCTGACTAAACTATTTGGTCCTTTAAAAACCTGTATGTAAAGTATTGTGCTATAGTTTGGAAAATAAACGTGATTCTGGGTGACAACATAAGGCTGTTTGTATCCAACATTAGGACTGTTTTCCTCAGCACATTGTGTCCGCTTCATGTTTTGTTTCCTTGCCACGATACCTCTGAGTTTTGCGATACTGGTATTGTGACAACCCTAGAGAGAGTGCTGTCCTTGGGCCCCGTGTTCAGAGAGGGAGTGCTGTCCTTGGGCCCCGTGTTCAGAGAGGGAGTGCTGTCCTTGGGCCCCGTGTTCAGAGAGGGAGTGCTGTCCTTGGGCCCGTGTTCAGAGAGGGAGTGCTGTCCTTGGGCCCCGTGTTCAGAGAGGGAGTGATGTCCTTGGGCCCCGTGTTCAGAGAGGGAGTGCTGTCCTTGGGCCCCGTGTTCAGAGAGGGAGTGCTGTCCTTGGGCCCCGTGTTCAGAGAGGGAGTGCTGTCCTTGGGCCCGTGTTCAGAGAGGGAGTGCTGTCCTTGGGCCCCGTGTTCAGAGAGGGAGTGCTGTCCTTGGGCCCCGTGTTCAGAGAGGGAGTGCTGTCCTTGGGCCCCGTGTTCAGAGAGGGAGTGCTGTCCTTTGGCCCCGTGTTCAGAGAGGGAGTGCTGTCCTTGGGCCCCGTGTTCAGAGAGGGAGTGCTGTCCTTGGGCCCCGTGTTCAGAGAGGGAGTGCTGTCCTTGGGCCCCGTGTTCAGAGAGGGAGTGCTGTCCTTGGGGCCTCGTGTTCAGAGAGGGAGTGCTGTCCTTGGGCCTCGTGTTCAGAGAGGGAGTGCTGTCCTTGGGCCCCGTGTTCAGAGAGGGAGTGCTGTCCTTGGGCCCCGTGTTCAGAGAGGGAGTGCTGTCCTTGGGCCCCGTGTTCAGAGAGGGAGTGCTGTCCTTGGGCCCCGTGTTCAGAGAGGGAGTGCTGTCCTTGGGCCCCGTGTTCAGAGAGGGAGTGCTGTCCTTGGGCCCCGTGTTCAGAGAGGGAGTGCTGTCCTTGGGCCCCGTGTTCAGAGAGGGATTGCTGTCCTTGGGCCCCGTGTTCAGAGAGGGAGTGCTGTCCTTGGGCCCCGTGTTCAGAGAGGGAGTGCTGTCCTTGGGCCTTGTGTGAAAGGAAGTGCGATACAGTAGAAACTACAGTATACTATAGCTGACTGAGAGGCTTGTACACAATCTAGGGGTGTTAATGGTTAACCGGTTCGCCATCAAAAATACATTTGACTGGTCATGCTTATTGGTCTATAGGTTAATTTGCATAATTTAGTATAATTATATTGTCGCTTGTGCAACGCGATTCCACTCCCAACATTGTCATGATTCCGTCTGCGCCATGAAGTGCATCGTCATTCGCCAGAGTCCAAGGCTCTCTTGATTTGATTAGCATTGGATCTAATTTCTGGTCTGATTGTCTTTTTAGTGGGCTGACATGACAGAGCGCTGGAAGTTCCAGTCCAGCCATTGTCCACGTCCCTGTTTATTTCCACAGTCCTGTTTAAACAGTGTGTGGGTTTGCTTGAATAAATACGCGGCAGGGATACAAACTATGCTGGCTGTTATTCCTGAACCCCCCCCCATTTCCTTTCCCCCAGTGGTTTTGTCCACAAGAATTAGCCTACCCTCTTAAGGAGGTCTCAGTAATGATTTCCAGTTGTGGGGTTTTGTGGTGTCAAGGGATATGGAATACCTGATGCTGCCTGAATGCTGTGCCAGG